GTTCCCAAAAACTGCGATCTACAGAGTGTAAGAACAACAAAGCTGACAATCTTTTTCCTTTTAACCTATTTCTCTTTTGCGTTGAGGTTTGCCCTGCTTTCGAGAACAGCCTCTCAGCTGGAACTGAGGTAGCCACAGTCGAAAGCAGTTTCCTGGCTATCTTGCACAGGGTTGGGTACGTTCCTGCCATGCGAGCCCACCAGGCTATGGGATTTTCCTCCAATGATATAACCGGATTTCTCAAGTAAAGGGAAATTTCTGATACCATCACATCAGATGTGTCCATGTTTTTCTGCATTTCTGATACCAGACGCTGATGACCCGCCCACAAATTAAAAGATTTAGTGCTCCCAGTTTCTGACGAATCTGGAACGAATATTGTTGCATTAGCCATTCATGCATACTTTTGTTTTAAATACACTATATAAACAATAGGTTTTTTTTTAAACTTTAGCTTGCTTACCAATTTCATTCTGGTGGGTAGCATGCTCATTTTCATTTATTATATTTTCTACGGATTCCTTTATCAAGTCTTGAATTTTTTGAACTGCCCCTGCACAGTTTAAAGCGTCTCTAAAATAGATTTTCTTAAACCGAGGGTCCAAGAGAGTAGCAGTTGCTAGAATATAAACTTTTTCTGCAGAAGAAAATCTCCGTTCACATTCTGTAAGTATTGCAAGTTTCAATGCTTTCCCAATTTCGTGTACTGGAGTGAGATTGCTTACAGCATTGCGAAGGTTAAAAATCATGGGAATTACTAGACTAGTTGTGGTGTAACTTTCTCCACCAATTTCTCTACTAGCTGCCTCGAGAGGTTTTAATAAATTTTGAATTTCCAGCAAATGATTTGCTTCACGTGCAGAAATACCCTCAGGTGCAGTTTCATGCCGACTTAAAATCAAATTTGAAATTTCTCTGAGTTCTAGAAATCGTTGAACCATAAAATATGTTGAATTCCAACGAGTTGGGCATTCCTGTATAAACTTTTTTATTTGGTTAGGCTGTTGGGATTTTCGCAATTCATCACTGGCATTGTTGCTTTGCTTGAACCAAGTGACTATATTCTTAACTTTCTTAATAATCAATTTCAATTCCTCATTGCAGGAAAGGGCCCGTTCAGCCACTAAGTTCAGTTGATGGGCAAAGCAATGTAAGTGGATGTTTTTACCAAAAATTGTTTGAATGGCTTTTGTTATATTTGCTGCCCCATCGCTAACTACAGCTGTAGCGTTCTGATGCTTCAAGTTCCAATATTTAACAAGCTTATTTATCTCCGACATTAAATATTCTGCGGTGTGCCTCTCACTTAATTCAATCACGCCCAAGTTTACACCAGCAATTTTATTGTTTTCATCAGCAAAATGAATTGTGAGTCCCAAAAAGCTTCTGGAATTCATTGTGTCCGTCCAAATATCTGTAGTTAAACTATAATTTTCCAGTTCTGCCATTTTTGCTTTGTATAAGCTAGACACTGCAGCATACTTATCATCTAATAATTTTGTTACTGTTCTCCTGCAAGGAATTTTATATAACGGAGCAGATGCTTTTAGCAAGTTTTGGAAACCTTCATCCTCTACTATTGAAATTGGTTGATAGTCCCGACAAATCATAAAAAGTATGGCATTTGTAATTTTGTTGTTTCTGTTGCCACCTTCTTTATATGACAAGATTTCGGAAAATGATTCTGCAATTGATTTTTGTCGCTTATAAGCCATGGACGACGATGAACCACTTTCAAAAGATCTGCCTCTGCTAGGGCCAGGAAGATCAGTCATTTCGCTGTCGCTCTGGCTCTGGACAATGTCTTGCAAACTTGAGACACTAGCAGTAGTGGTTTCAGCACTAGCATCACTGTCGACACTCTCAGCAGGACTCATAGGACGTTGTGAACGATTGGAAAGGGACTGATTTTTCTGCTCAAATAATAATTTATGCATACTTCTGAGATGACATTTCAAATTAGTCGTATTTCCTGATGTTTTTATTATTTTTGGGCATAGTTTACATTTGGCAAAGACATTATCCTTATCACGCTTTTCAAAATACTTCCAGACATCGCTTTTGGCTGGCATCCTGTTGAAATGCAAAAACCACTCATCAGTAATCATATTTTGATGAAGTGGGAAAACATTAATTTTCTTACCTTAGGTTCTGTCTAAGACTGAGTAGAGATTTTCCAAAAAATAAACACCACTAAACCGTAAAAAAAACTTGGAAAAAAAGCTAATTGAAAAATTTCGCTTGGGAATCACCGAAATTCGAGAGTCACCGTTAAAACGAAAGCGCAAAAGCGGTAAATGGCCTATGTCATTTAAGTCAAGCAGGGTCAAAAAAGCACGCCGTCGGCCGTCGTAATCCCGTGGAGGAAGTGTGTGTATGTTTATCCTTTTTTGTTATATTGTTAAAAAAAAAATGAAGCGACTCTCTCATGATACAGTGACTTTCATGATGTTTCCAAGCGCCATCTACATATAATGAGTAGACGCATACATAATATTTGCTTCCGCATGGTAGTTTGATGAATTAATTTGAGATGGCGCGGCGGTAGCCTGGCAATATCGAATATCGATGGTCGAAACATCGATAACTCGATGTTTTGTAACTTTTGCCATCGATGCTAAAACATCGAACATCGAAGGCAATAACATCGATGTTCACGATACATCGATGTTCAAGTCCCATCACTATATTAAAGTATAAGTAGATATTAAGGTCTTTAAAACACGCGCGATTTTTCGAGCACAACGGCGCAGGCGGAGTGCTAGAAATAGAGCAAGTGTTTTAAAGACCAGTTATCCACGAATACTTTACACTATTTTTTTTATTGGTATACGTTCAAATCATAAATTACTAATAATTGTAGAATGCTAAATTCGTGCTTGACATTTGTTACATTTTATTTGACGTTATCTACAAGTACCTAACCTACAGCTGACAAATCAATAATTAAAAAATTGACATTTAAACATTTCTCGGTTTGTTGGTTGTTGATGTTGTCATTGGTAACTTTAAAACACGCGCGTTTTTGAATGTTGGATTTAAACACGCTGAGGAGTACTTTAAATAAGTGAAATAGGTTATCAATAAAAAAAAATAAATTAAAAATTAATTAATAATTAGAAACATCAGCTGCTTTCAGGTGCCACCCTTTGAGCTCTCCCCAGTTACTCCGAAGTACTTACTCCGACTACAGTTTGACGCGTTCGCAAAACACATGGAGTAACGGGAGTGTTCAGAGCTCGAATCGCACTCTGTTATCTAAACACTCTGGGGGGCTTTATTTGAAATTGATGTAACTTTGCGTACGCGGAAATATGACGCGAATGACGTCAGTTGCGATTGAAAAAGTGCATGTCAAATAAGCTGTGCACCAATTTTCATTCACGAATGACGTCATTGGCGTGTACGCTAGGATGCATCTTTCAAATAAAGCACCCCTGCACCCGGAAGCGGCTATGGGTTCGCATATGCTTAGTTTTTGAGATAAAGGCTGTTAAAGTTTGAAAAAAAAAGTTTTTCACTGAGGTTTATTAGCTCAAAAATCCCTTTCCAGATTTTCTTTAAACTTGGAAGGTTTGTTTGTAATAACAAAACAAAAGGTATCTTTGGAGTAAATTAGATTTTATGTTTGGGTGACCATATTTTTTTTCTATGAATGCTGTACGCATCTAAAATTTTGGGACAGGTGAGTGGAGTGGAGAAAGCACTAAATGCAAATTTTGTTGACTTTATAGCTCGTTTTAGTACCACCTAACAGAAAAAAAAATAATGAAAGACATAGCATATAAGGTCTGTTCACACAGACATCACAAAAGAGTCAGAATGAATTTCATTGGTTGAAAACCTTAACGGTTGAAACCAAGGTTGTTTGAAAGAGGTAGGTTGGCTGATAACTTTTATGACGTCATCTAGATGCCTAAACATAATGCAAATCTCCATTAGATCTTCTTGATGACGTCATCTGTTAACCATTACCAGACAACCTATTAACTTTAGGAACCTTGAGTTGAAACTAGCTTTCTGACTTTCTGACTATTTTCAACCAATGAAATTCGCGCTGACTGGTTTGTGATTGCTGCAGAAACAGACCTATTATGCTGTGTCTTCTTCTTAGCAGCGTGGAATAGAGGGAGATAGAAAAAGTAGTTAGCATTAAAAAGAATACTCTGGGAGATGATGGCGTAAATCACGTAAATCGCAAATGTAGAAATATCGTTAGTTATTGACGGACAATTTTTCGTGATTTTTTTTCTAAGAAAAACTTTAATTATGATCGGATCCGAATCGCTGTACGTTTGCTGTACAAAATTAAATGCTGGACAGACTTTGAAAATGCTGTACAATACAGCGAAATGCTGTACGTATGGTCACCCTATTTTATGTAATTAGTAATTATTCCAGTGACCTTCAGAGGCCAGGGCAACTACGTTAATAAAAGCATTGTATTACTATAATAATTTACAGTAATAATAATCAACTATTAAACTATTTATGGAGGAAGCTTGAAAAAGAAAAACGAAAAATATAAAATAATTTAGGTTAGGTCAGCTTTGTCACCGGTCAAATGTCAATAATTACTGGAATTCGTTCCAAAATCAACCAGTAATACAGCGGCTGGTTGAAAAAGAAACGACAAATACAGTAAAAACCGCACAGCGGAAATTCAGTACTGCCAGTTACAAAAAGAACACAGCCTTATAATACCCACCCTTAATCAGGTTATGTTTGGCTTTTGTATGCCCCTTAGCTAAAATGGCTGATCGGTTATGACGTCAACCTGGAATGCCTAATGAGGATAGGCTATCCTGTAGTAGTAGTGTGTATTATCCTTGCTAATCAGCCTTAGCTCTGCATTCAACCGACGTTACTAAATGTTAGTACTCCTTCATTTCGTTGATTGTTCACAGGATTGTTCATTTTGACAAATCCTAACCTTAAAAAAAAAAATGAACAACCAAAAATAACAGCTAACAGCCTTTTCTATTTTCATCTATTTCAACATGTTAGCCAAAAGACTTTTTCCAGCTTGCACCAGAATCCCTTATGTAATTCAGAAGGTAAAAAACAGCCCCTTGAAATAATCATTTTCTAGCTTTAAGCTTCTAGATTGGCCAAATAAGAGAGTCCAGCTTCAAATCGTCCCTTTTCCTGGAAGACATCAGCCCCAAACCGAGAGAATACGAAGTGACCAAAAATCCAGTTGACTGGGATTATGTCCAACGACTTCTACCCAACACAGTTGTGCCTGAGCCTGTGAAAAAGGACAAATATCCCTCAGGTACTTGCTGCCTCTAAATAATACATTTTTTTCAACCCAATTTATCTCCAGGTTGGAAACCCCAAGCAGAAAACTTATCAGAACTTCCTTATTTCGTACAAAGAACCAGAAATCACATGATACCCTGCTACTTACGCATATCGCATTTGAAAACTAGAAGAACCACATTGCTGAAAAATATCAAAGGCGATATTTGGCTTCTGGAAAAGGAAATAAAGGACTTTTTAAGGCCGCAAAATTATCAACCAATAAGATCGCAAGTTAATGAGTTTGCTGGCTTTATAAGGATCAATGGGGATCACGTTAATGCAATCAAATATTTTTTAGAAAATAAAGGAATGTAAGAAAATAGGAAATAAATAAAAACATATTAATTATTACAAAACGTTTTGTATTCAGTCGTTTCAATAACTAACTTTATAAAGGAACATAAATTAAACCCTAAAAGATACAATATAGTTTTGAATAAATGATAAAAAACACTCAGATCACATTCTTTCAGTAGACTTCAAAAAATCACAATCTTGATTTTTAGTCAAACAATTTGCATTATCACTCCTGTTTGTTACCTTGAAAAACCTTAATAGAGAACTTTTTGGAGTGGTGCAAGGTTTCTTGGTACTTTTGGGGCTCGAATCCAATCTGGTTGATTTTGGTGAACTCCCTACAGTTTTCTCAAGCATTTCTTGCCTCAAATTTCTCTCAATCCTCATACATGTTAGCCAATCTTGAGATTTGCGTTTTGGGGGTGAGTAATTCAAATGGGGTGCAGTTCCATCTATTACGAAATTGGGAAGGTTAACTGTAGGCGAAGTGGTGAGTTCTGCAGATTTAAATGACTCTGAAATAATGATTATTATTGAAATTTTGATTGTGGCTGCACTGCAGTACTTACCCAAGGCAGTATTAAGAGATTTCAAATTCAAAGGTTCCTCATCAACTTTATCTAAAATCTTGAAACTTTCTCCTTCTGCTTCTTGAAAATTGCCTTGCAAATGCGCAAAAAGCCTTTTAGGACCAAGTTCACTACCCATTCGTTTGCATTCGCTCCACAAATTAGAATCAGCTTTTCGTTTTGAACCTGATGGCACACAATTTTCGCAAAGGGTCTCTAATGTTGCTCTTTCACAATTTTGACATTGCCAAATTGAACGTTTGCTGATAGGCAACTGTGTTTTAGTTAAGCATAAGCGTTTTTTTGGTTTTGGTGGTACTATTGGCATTATTTCAGCTTCGCCTTGTGCCTTATCAGTTTTATCAATACCACATATATTCCAAAGTTTATAAGACATGTCATCAGAGCAAGTGATTATAGAGGGTGTAGGTTTACGATTACACCAAGAGACACAAGTAACCTATAAAAACAAAAATTAAACCCACTTAATCAAAATTAAATTACTTAATAATTACCTCAGCCCCATGTCCAGTGAGTTTAACAGTTGGTTGAGAATGCTTCAAATTCCAAATATAAGCATGCCCATCACTGCTACCACTAATTAAATAATTCTCATCTTTACTCATACAAGATTTAATATAAAATGAATTATTTTGATGTCCTGTATAAGTCATTACAGGTTCAGTATTCCGACCTGCGACATTGTAACAATAAATTGTATTATCCAAGCAATTAGCATACAATTTAATTCTTGAATTATCAATAAGTAAATTGCTGAAACCATTTTTAGCAGTTTTTCCAGAATATGGTATAAGATGTGAAGGTCGTGGTTTGCTATTAGTGCTATAATGTTTGCGTAAATCCCAGAATTTGATCATACCGTCCCCAGCGCCACAAGAAATAAGTGTATTCGAGTTTTGAAACACCAATCCAGTAACGCTTTTAACTGAACTCATTTTAAAAGTGATTTTTTTCTTGTTTGTGGTTAAACTAATATCTTTGCTAACATGCCCATTCTTTATAATATAATCCAATGGGCCCACCCAACCTATTTTAACAGGAGATCTTGTGTCCCATAAAATGATACTCCCATCTCTGCTGCCTGTAGCCAAAACACTAGAATTCTCCTTTTGAAAAGCCACAGTTTTAACTGACCGGTTGTGGGCTAGAAACATCCTCAACATCTTAACACGCCCATCTCCTATATCAAGTAATGTAGAAGAGTGATCCCCTGAAGCAGTGACTACTTGCATCTGATCGAACTTCCAAGCCAAATCGAAAATTGCATTGACGTGTGCAGTATCTGAGTATTGCTCGTTAGTTTCGCTGTTTTTTATTGTCAGGTCTCCGTCTTCATTTGCCATTGCGACGATGTGTTCGTGTGTTGGTTTGGGGGCATTTTTACATGCAAATATTGGGGATGTAAGTACTGACGATTCATCGCAGTGAAGTTTGTTGAATATCGAGTCTGATTGTCTCCAGGTAGCTGAAGAATTTTTGAGGTATGAGTTATATTATTAAGGCCCAGTTGTGCATTCTCGGTTCAAAACAAAGTTCAACTAAACTTGACTGGTACTTGAACTTTCCGATTTAAAATACATTACTGTCAGCTATTAATCAAATTCTATCAATTTTGACAGCAAGGCATTGAAGATGGGGAAGTTCATGTACCAGTCGAGTTCAGCTGAACCCTGTTTTGAACCAGTGGCGACGCCAGGGGGGGGCCGGGCCCCCCCTGAAATTTAGCTGGCCGGGCCCCCCCTGAAATTTAGCTGCCCCCCCCTAAAAACTTGCCCTCATGTCGACAACAATGCAATGCAACATGCGTAACCTCTGCTCTCTGGTTAATTTGATATTTGGTGGGCGCCAGGCAACCACGACTATGCTTTCGCTTTTCTGGGATTCCCCCAAACATATTTGTGTCGACAGGTACAGGGTTTTCCTGTGTATTTTTGGCACCTCACCTGAAGGCCGGTTTCTCAATAGCAAGCAAGTCACCCCCATAACTCCAGGGTAAACATTGCAATTGGACACGTTTACGCTGGACTAGCTATCGAGAAACCGACCCTGAACGGTTAATTGAATAGGTATCAAGAAGATTTATCTATACAGGGTGTCCGTTTTTCGAGAGCAATCATTGGAATATAGGAAACGGTAAGAGATACAGGTTCGGTGAAATTGGGACAAAGTTGCGCAATTTCTTGCTTAACAAAACGCTACTTCGAAATTTGGAAAATTCTGAATACTTCCGGAGATACATGGGAATCAAAATTTTGTAAAACCATTTCTATATTTTCCTGGACTCATTTGTAAAGGTATTTCAAATAAACTTCACTTTATTGGGGCAACTTTCTCCCCTCTACATTATGGTGTAACCAAATTTGAAATCCGACGTTTCGTCTTTTGCCGATCATCATCAACTTGATTTTTTCAAATAGAGGTTTGAATTTTTATGAATTGTATTCGGAGTTTCTTGATCTCCCAAAAGCAGTAACACATTTGGCCATTGATTCCGATTTTGTATCTCTTACCGTTTCCTATATTCCAATGGTTGTCCTCGAAAAACGGACACCCTGTATACAAAATCCAAATAAAAACCTTTTTGATACCTTCAATTAAGCTGTTCAAGTGGAGTGCAAAAATATACGGATAAACTTTGCAATTCCCATTTTTTATTTCAAAGAAGAAAAGCAATAAATTAAGAACAAGTGCCCCCCCTAATATTTTCTGGCCCAGCCTGGCCCCCCCTAACGTAAAACCCTGGCGTCGCCACTGTTTTGAACCAAGATTGTACAACTGGGCCTAAGAGCTTAAGAGGCAACATAACATTACAAGTAAACAGTATTTTTGATTGGAATGTTTTCATAGAGCTCTTATTTGTTAATTAACTTATTATTGAAGATTGTTAGTATGATTTTAAGTCATTAAAGATGTTAACAATTATCACATAATTGTTTTTTGAAGAAGCAAAACATCTACATAAAGGTTAGAAGTGAAAATATACTTACAAAAGCCATACTGTTGTTGGAAAAACGAAGTCACAGTATTCGAGCACATAATTAAAACACATAAAACATTGGATTTTGCTTAATATTATTGAAAACTGGGAAACTCCCAAAATAAAGTGCGGGAAAAGAAAATTCTTATCCAGAAATGTTTAGCTTTAGCAATAGGAATGGGCAACGGCTAAGGTATGGTATATCGATATTTTCGAAATGTCGATATGTAGGAATTCAAATATCGATATATTTCATGAAGAGTGCGTTCGAAATCAGTCTGTCTGTGCGTTAAACCGAGTGCGCTACATGTGCACTCTTTCCTAACCAACTCTGCAGTGTGTTCGAAATTAGTCCGGGCGTCACAACGAGCGCACACCAGCCGTTCGAAAATGGATTCGAATAAGCTCCGGTTAACTTTCATGCTAGTTCAAAAATGTACGGGGTGCTACCTAGTCCCAAGGATGATACACACTACTAAGGATGGCTTATCCTCATAAGGCCTGTGTGTAACAAATCCCCCCCTTCCCCGCCTAGCCAAAAAATCAGTTGTGACGTAAACATCATGGCGTTTTTCGTCTTGACGTAGGCTGTTTGCACCACAGGTTATGTTATGATCTGGCTGCTGGCTGGAAATTATGGAACTAGTTTCTAGTATAATTAAAGTCTAAAATTATAAAATTATATCAGATACATATCATGACTTTTAATCATTACTGTTGTGTTCCTCAATGCAAGTCTTGGGCTAAAAAAAAAAGCTGACAAAGGATTGAGTTTCTACATATTTCCCTTTGAAACAGGCCCACGGGTTTATTTGGAAACGAAAATGGAAAAAGAAGTGTCGAGAAGAAAAGCCTTCTGGATTTTAAAACTTCGTATTGGCAAGCCAGTCACCAAATTCATGAAAGTGTATTCTCTGCATCTCAATTAAGCAAGAATTTTGTGTTAAGGTAAACAAGCATAATGGATAGTTTTGTGCCCTAGCTTCATTTTAGGCCTGCTTCTAGGCATTTATCAAGTACTATCTATTTTTAAAATGTTTTGTTTGAAAATATTGACTGTTTTTATTATTTACAGGTGAGAGTACAGGTCTTAGGGCGGGTATTATAAAACTGCTTTGACAGTTAACTTAAAGTTAACTTTTTGAATTACATGTAATTCCAGAAGTTAACTTTAAGTTAACTCTCAAAGTAGTTTTATAATACCCACCCTTAGAGGTACAGGTAGAGGTCGGATATTGAAAAAAACAGTTGTACCATCCCAGAATTTGCCCTCTTCTATAGTGATCCATAAACCGAGCCAAAAAATAGATTCCATGGGTGCTGAAAAACGTGCCGAAATAAAAAGAAATCAAGATTCTAGTGAGACTGATACAAGTAATGAATGTAGTTATACTTTTAATCAATTATTAAACTCTTCTCAGATAGCCATACAAATGGCCGAGCAAACAGCAGAACGTGTAAAGTGTTTATTAAATCCTAATTACCAGTATTATATTATAGGTAGTTCGAGTAAAAATCAGATTTGTGGTCAAGTTATTTGACTTTGTTAATTTAATTTTCACCTATTTATAAATAAAAATAAAGAGTTATTTATAAAATGTTTATTTATTTATTACACATACAAGTTATTCAAATACAGACATTATAAGGGAGATCCATACCAGCCTTGAGACCCTTTTGGCAATGTCCTATTGTAGAAAGTTTACAAAAATATAAGAAAAAGATCCGGTTAGGCTGTTGTATAGATATAATCATTTCGGGTCAGATAAACGAAATAGATTATAATGAATTTTGGCCTGCATCATCACGAGCAGCATTATGGGTGAAAATTATTACCCAGTGTGAAACTTTCGAGAACAGTGAATAAATAAGTCGATATTGCATTTGCAGCACATTGTTCTTCCTCGGCTGCTACAGTTTTGACCACCACATCGTTTTTTTTTACGTTCAGGAAAAGTGTTTCAATAATGATGCAGTCCATAATACCATAATACCTTATATCATTATTGACTCAAAAATCACTTGCTGCAGCCCGAAGCATATTCTCCTGTAGCGCAAGATGGTACTTTATATTTCCTCGGGTATGTCTGAAAATAAAAATAAGGTTAAAATTGTATGATTTCCCAAAAAATTGTTAATTCTACTCTACCTGTGATATATTTCCCATTCGAATAAACAATTTCTGCACTAGCACAAAAGTTGCCTAGTAGATAAGTCAAAACCACGTTCCTCATCTGCTGAATCTTAGTCAGTGAGCTCTTTGCTTTCTGTATGGGCTCGATATATTATGCCATCAACATTTTCATTATCATAAGCAGTATTCAAAGCTTCCTGATGGCTAATTCCACAAACAAAATGTAAGTACAGCTAAAAATGTTAGCTTCTGCCCAGGCCCATATGCCATATGGGACAGTAATATTTACAAGAATATAATACATAAACAAACAATTTATGCTCGAATAGGAATATGTTATAATAATATGAGAAAACCCTAAAAACAATTAAATAGTATAGAATAAATTATCTTATAGTTATTATACTTACATAAAGAAATGTAAACAAAACGCCGCGTAATTCTCCTAGGGCTCCATTAAATCATACATGCTGAAAACGTGTAAATAGGCGGAATGACGAAAGCTAGCCAGATATCGCGCTACTGGTTCCATCATAGCATAGGGTACCTTTACCCGCTATAATGGTTAATCAAAATCAAAATAAAATATTTTTCATGACAAATTATAAATTTATAAAACCGCTGGCGCAAACAGCTGGCGACTTTGTTATGACGTCAGCAGTGGTTGGAAACAGTTGAAAACCAATATGGCGGCAATTACACAAAAAGGGGCCGATAAGCACTCCTTAGTAAGTTTATTCTCCTTGACCTAGTCCCCCTCAGTGTGCACTCTTGCGCACGCTATAGCCGCTTTCCAGTTGACATTGTGTTCGTGCTTCAAGCACGGTGCAGCTTAGTGTTCTGTGTTTGAAACACAAAAGTTAGTAGCTCTCGAAGCGCAGTACGGCTGGAACACGAACACGAACACGCGCTTGAAGCATTTGCGCGCGCAAAAGCCGACTGCGTGCTCAAAATAGTCAGCTGGAAAGCGGCTTATGAGCATGGAAATCGTAACTTCATTTTGAATATAAAACCTCATGATAGTAGCCGCTTTCCACCTTTACAGCTGACCATTTTGAGCACGCAATCGAGCTTTTGCGCGCGCAAATGCTTCAAGCGCATGTTCGTGTTCCAGCCGTACTGCGCTTCGAGAGCTGCTAACTTTTGCGTTTCAAACACAGAACACTGTTCTACACCGTGCTTGAAGCACACAGCTGGCCAAATTTTTTGTCTTTATTTTTCTCGTTTACTTTTCGATTACGTTGACAAGGACAAATCTATCGGGGAGCTCTACTCCCGGCCCGAGAATCGGCCCTCTGGAAAGCGGCTGATATTAGGTAATCCAATCCAATGACAATCCCACTGTAAATTCAATCCATCTGAAGCCTAGTACTCATAACTGCGAAATTCGCATTTTTTTGACATTGCGTTGACAATTTGACGTTTAATGCGTGTATCAAACGTCAAATTGCCGAAGCAATGTCAAAAAAATGCGAATTTCGCAGTTATGAGTACTAGGCTGTTAAAAAGGAAAATTCAATATGGCGTGGCGGCCAATCAAGTTTGTTTTGATCCGTAATTTAAATTATTTTGCTTAGAGTTTCGCTTGCATCTTTTATTTTGACTATTTAATAAAATATTTGTTGACTAGGTACCTAAACTAATAAATCGGGCAGGAACTAGATATTGTTGTGTGTTTTTTGGTCCATGTGTGGCCGCCACGCCATCTTGAGTGTCACCTGATTTGGATTCAAGGAGAATACACACTCAAAGGATTATCGGCCTCGTTTTTGGTAATCGCCGCCATATTGGTTTTCAACTGTTTTCAACCATTGCTGACGTCATAACTAAGTCCTCAGCAGTTTAAGCAGCCTACTTCAAGGCGAGAAACGCCATGCTGCTGGGGGGATTTGTTACACACAGGCCTTATGAGGATAGGCCATCCTGTAGTAGTAGTATGTATCATCCTCATCCTTGGTTTGGATTGCCTAATAAAAGTTTTATTAGGCAAGGCATTTTTTTTGTAGACCTTTCAGTGTAAATATAGTGAAATACTTATAAGAAATTAAATACAGACTTTTGTAAGTTCCTACTAAGCCAACCTCACAAGGACAAAATTAGAGAAAAAAATTAAAGTAACTTTTCATCATGGTAGGTATTCCTTCAGTAGCAATTGATTCATCTTCATACCTACCCCAGGGAAATCTGACGTCGAAGAATCTCAAATAAAATGTACCTATGTAAAATAGTATTTTCTACAAAATTGTTCATATACATTTTTTTGTACGACCAAGCGTTTTCGAAATATAGCGTGATAAAGCGGGAGCGCGCATTCAAAATAGGTGATACTGTATTATACAGGGTGTCCCCGTTCAACTGGTCAAAAATACTAGGGTATATAGAGGAACCATAGAGAAGTAAGTAATTTGAGATAGGACATCGATGGTCGGAAGTGGGTCGTTTCCAAAATACAGGGTGTTGAAATTTAAACAACCCCCTTTCATATCATCTGAAGGGCTAATGTTAGGCTGTTCAAATTTTCATGGTTTATTGATGTGCAAGCATCAGCTTAACAGGCCAATTTTAATGCGATAGAATGAAATGTATAGGAAAAGTCTAAGGTTAAATAGAGAACGCGAAAACGATTTTCCCTATAGGGCAATCCAACGACCTGTCAAAATGGAGGCCAATGCTTTTTTATTTTAAAAAAATGCCGTTTTATTGCGATTTTTGATTTGTATAAAGTCTGTAAAGTGTTGATTTTGTGGAAAATGCATACGTTATGTATTGTACTTAGTTGTGGGAGCCGTTCTAATCGCGAGAAAGTCTATAGTTTCATGCCGTTCCTGCAGAGACAAAACGCACACTTTTTTAACGGAGAAAAATGATTTATCTGTACTTTGTGAGGGCTTCATGGATTGTAGCAAAAAAGAAAAAATCTTACGAAATCCATATTAAAAAAATCAAAAAATCTCTCTACATAAATATGGTGTATGGATCCAAGCCATCTATCCTCCACATCAGCTTGTGCTTGTGTGTCGATACCTTGAATAGCAGACAAATAAAAGGTCTGTTTCTGCAGAAAT